TGTGTTCTGATATTACTTTGCAGCTGCATTCTAAGCGCTGTATCCGCTTTTAAGATAAATGATTTTACGCCGGTAATATCCGTAAGCACTGTCTCGCGCAGCATCACAAAGTCACACAGGGGGGACGTAGGAGCGAAAGGCTGCAAACCCAGAGCGCGCTGGAGAGGCAGCGTGACGGAAAAGTACTGAGAGGCTGACAAATTAGGTGTCTGTGATGGGTGCGGAAGGCGGAGGCATGCGAAAAATGCCACTGTGACAGGCGTCTGCACATGAGAATGTAAAACAATGTTGGACCAAAAAAAAACCCCAAACAAAACATAAAAACAGAAAGAAAAAAAAGGCAGCAACAGGTCTGCTCTGTGTCAGCTGAACTCGCTGCATGTAGCTCACTGCAAAGCGCTGATGTATCGTGAGATGCCCGACCTGCAGTAAATCTGCTGTGGTTGTTAAATGTTGGTTGTTGTTGTTTTCTGCTGTGTGACAACTAAATTTAAAAAGTTTGCTCCTCAGTTTCTTAGATCTTAAGATATCTTCAAACCGAATAGATTGTATCATTTTAATTTAGTTGAAATGAGACATAAAATAACGTTGAATGGAAATTTGTGTTTTTAAAACGCAACAGGTTTTTCAGGTTTGGTTGCTGTCTGCTTGGAAAAAGTGTCGACATATCAAACGGCTGTTCAGCAGCACAGCAGTTCATCTGTTTAACGCTTCTTTCTGTATTTCTGTAAGCTGACACTAATTAAATGGGAATTTTTGGTGACTTGTAAGTGGATTTCTTTTCTGCTTTTGGTTTGCACCATAAAGAAGAGAAAACACGACTACAAAGTATATCCAACTTTGAAGATGTTGTATGTAAACTAATAACAGATTAATGTGTGTATAGATACATTGCACTGATAGCTACAGGCCCTAATAATAATAATAATAATAATAATAATAATAATAATAATACATTTTATTTATAGGCGCCTTTCAGACCCTCAAGGTCACCTTACAGTAACACTCATGTCTGCGCTGTAGTCACACTTAGACCAGGTAGCAACAGTAATGGAAAATTACCAGTGATGAGTCGGCAGCCTGCTGACGTGACATTTATAGCAGAAGGGCTCGATGCCGATATAAAATGATGAATACCGTTCATTGTGTGAAAAGGGTCATTAGAGTGGTTTCTCAATGAGGCATGAAAGTAAT